ATTGTATTTGTATTTGTATTTGTATTTTAAATTGTTGTTTATCTATTTGTCTATTTATCCCCTTCCCTTGTTTATTGTAAGCCGCCCGGAGTCCTTCGGGAGTGGGCGGCATACAAGACCAATAAAATACAAAATACAAATACAAATAAAATGGGGCAAAATTAACTTAAATAAATTTCTCACTTAGCAACAGAAATATTAGGTTCAGTAGTGATCATAAGTTGAGGACTACCTGTAATGAAAGAAAACCAAGAATAAAAACATCAGGGACAGAACGGTTGATAAAAAAATGATTGTAGCTGAACAATGGGGTAATGATGTGAAGAATTGTTGTGAAGACTGCGGCATAAAGTTTGAAGGGAAAGGAGATTATGGGATAAAAGGAAGTAACTGAAAAAAAAACCAATTAAAAAGAATTGGGGAGACTAGAGAATGATGTAAAATCACAAATAGATGAAGTTTGCCAGGGAAATAATCTTACAGAATCATAGAATGAGAGTTGGGAGGGATCTTGGAGGTCATCTAGTCCAACTCCCTGCTCCAGCAGGAGACTCTGACAAAAATACAGGCTTGAAAGGAACCTTGGAGGTTTTCTAATCTTTTGATTGTTGGGATATTAATAGTCACAAGATAGAACAGATAAATTGGGCTACAAAATATTAACCTATATAGCAGGCGCTAAAGACAGCACAGGCAGGACATCAGAGCTGAAATGATTGGTATGGTGGTAAGCTGAGTTATAAACTATGCAGATCTTAAATCTTAAATGAAGAACAAATTGTACTACAGGTAGTCTTTGTAGTACCTTGTACCTCGCAGTACCTGTTTATTTAGTGACTGTAGTTTATTTAGTGACTGTTCAATGTTACAATGGCACTGAAAAAATGACATGACTATTTTTCATGCTTACAACCATTGCAGCATTCCCATGGCCACTTGGCAACTGACTCATAATATACATGACGGTTGCAGTGTCCCAAAGTCACGTAATCAACTTTGGTGACCTTCTGACAAAGCAAAGACAATGGGGAAGCCAGATTCACTTAACAACCATACTATTAACTTAACAGCTACAGTGATTCACTTAATAACTGATAAGAAAAGTTGTAGAATGGGGTAAAACTCACTTAAAAACTGTCTTGCTTAGCAACAGAAACTTTGGGCTCAATTGTGGTGGTAATGTTGAAAGAAATGTCCTTCTGGGTTCAGCTCCAAGTGGGGAAGAAGACACTGGAGGCATGGAGGCTGCTTGGAAAGATGGTTTATTGTTGGACAGGGCCACATGGCTTGAGCCCTGTACAGAAAAGGTGATCACATGTTTCAATGTTGATGGAGAAGAAGAGAAGGCTGAGGAAGGGGCTTGCTAGGCTTTTATACCCTGTTCAGTCCCACCGCTCTGTTTCCTGTTCCTGTGTAAGAAATGTGTTCTGACTGGTTGTCGGACTCCCATGGTGCTATGCAGGGGGCTACTCTCTAGGCTGTGATGAGTTCTCATTTGCCTTGTGGTCAGTTGAGTAATATCCCTTCCCCCTACAGCTGCAGTGAGGAGAAGTCTTTATTATGTAAAGTGGGCTAGCCGGGCCATCTTAATGGCCCATTAGCTGGGGATGGGCAGAAAGCTATAGGCAACTATTCTGTCTTTTAAAACATGTTTCTTTTCACATCCAGAGAAATATTCTGCCTTTTCAATATTTCCTAGGATATTTCATTTTTCTGGGAGAGGGCTGGATGATAACTTCCCACAGTAAGTCAAGCATTACCTGTATTTAGGTACTATTTTACCTCTGCTTATTCCAAGGCCCTCAATGGGAAGCAATTAAGAGATAAACGTTATAAAATTTGCCTGATTTATATTCTGTGTGTTATTCACCCACACGTTAGCTTTATTCAAAAGGCAAAATTAACTGGTTTCAAAACAGCCACTGAATGGGCAGGTTTCTAGGGGGAATATATGTAAGAAAAAAAGGATAGACAGTTTACTTATACAAAACCTAAGGGCTGTGATCCCATGCGTGAGGTTTTATGCACCATAGAACTTACAACTGAGATTTAGTTGCATTATATTTTTATTTTATTACTTTTTTCGTTTGCCAACCTTGCTTTAAAAAAAAAAAATTCTCCGCGGTGACCGTGAAGCCACCCAGCACCTTTCACCCGAAGTTTTCCCAACTTCGTCTAACACGTTTTTGTCAATGGCCTCACGTCGGACCAATAGGAAAGAGTCAAACTTCTACCAACCAGCTTCCACGAGAGAATTTAAAAAGCCCGCCCTTATTTTCCAGGAAGCTTTCATTCATTGGTGGAGACGGTTCGTGCCCCATGAATGATCACAAGAGCAGCCAGTGATATCTGTTAGTTTCTTAATTGATCTTAATGTCAACCAATTATCTTTATGAGTAAAAAGGACTTCAGTCTTTCCAGTAGAACGTGGATGATGAGGTAGGAGTCCCCTAACTTGGCAACTTTAAGACTTATAGACTTCAACTCTCAGAATTCTCCAGCCAGCAGAGTTGGATGGAAAATTCTGGGAGTTGAAGTCCACAACTCTTAAAGTTGCCAAGTTTGAAGACCTGTGTGTACTAATAACTACTCCTGCTATATTTGATTTTCTACCAATGACGTATCTAAAATGGCAAACAAATCGCTGAAAAGCGAATGAAACATATTGTAAGAGGTGGGTTAATTCGACCCCCTAAGGCAAAAAAAAATGGTTTAATAAGCGACGTTTTGCTGTTGAATAGCACCTCGATAACCAATCGTGTTTCCCCTAGTTTTAGGATGGGCATATTCACCTTTGAAGGCGGTTGCAAGGAGCATAGCTTGAATAATTTGTGGGACTCAAGAGTTTCCGGTCTTAGCCACTGCTCCTTCCCTTTCAAAATAAATGGCGCTTCCTCTTCCTTTGTCATATTGCACGTCTCTCATAGGGATTGCAATACGAGGTTTGAATGCGAACGCACTTGACAGACACTTCAGGTAATCAATGCACTGCTTCTTCCCGCCCCTTAAAAGTTATGACATCAAAGACACGGAGAAACGTAATACTTTGCCGTGACTGATATCTGCGTCCCCCCAATAAATTATCCGAGAAACTACTCTAATTCTTATTGGTGAAAGGTTTCCTTATTTCACCAATGACAATTCACGATCATGATGAGGAGGCGTTCCCCGACATTCCTCACTTGTGTCTATAGTCCGCACAAAAAAAGGGGGGGGGAGCCTGCGCGCGCCGAGCCTTTCCTCTAAATGTGCCCAATACGGTTTGAAATATTGTGAGGGAGGGCCCTTTTCCTTCCTGGATGACTGACGGAGAACCCGCCGACCAATGAAAACCCGGGAGGTGGGGCCGCCCTCCTTCCCCTCCCGCCCCCTCTTTTGAGTGATGGCGAGGCCGCCCAATGGGACGGCCAGTCCCCTCCCCTCGACTGAACGAGGCTGGGGGAGTCCGGCCAGCGGTTCTCTTTTTCTGTCTCATTCGCAAGATGGCGGAGGCTGCAAACTGCATCATGGAGGTGAGGGAGTGGGGGGGGGGCGGGAGAGAAAGAAGGGGGGAGCCGGAGGCTGCTCCTGGTCCCCTTCGAGGGGGCCCTAATCCTTCACCCACCGAGTCTCTCCCAGAACCTCATGAGGCTATAGGAACGGGAAGGATTGCTCAACCGAGATCCCCTCCGGAGCCCCCCCCCCAGGTTTGACGGGGCTCCCGGGGGACGTTTGCCCCCACTCCGCCGCCTGAGTGATCGAGCCCCCTTTACTTTCTACCCCTCGATGCCTCTCCCCTCCTGGCGGCCCCTTAACCATCCCCGCCATTTTCTCTTCCCCCCCCCAATAGTGGTTCCATTTTCTTCGCCGCCGCCTTCCATCCCCCCCACCCCATTCCGGATCGTCCTACATAGGAGAGATGAGGGGGGAGGTCAGGGCAAAAGGCGTTTTCTCCCCCCGTCTCCCCCCTCGCGATTAGTGTGTGGCGCTGTTGCTGGCTCTCTTAGGCGGGAAAGCCTCGGCCGTTTCAAATCGGATAGGCTCCCCTTCCGATTCCCTTTCCGCGGAAAAGCCCCGCACGCTTTTGTGCCCCCCGCCCATGTTAACGTGGTTCTTTCCTCATGGGAGCCGCATGGCAAGCCTGCCCCGCTGGGCCCCGCCCCACTCCATGGCCCGGGGGAGGCCCCTGGAGCCCCGCCCCCTTCTGCCGTGGGTCCGCGTGGGGTTCCTTTTCCCCGAGT